GTGTGAGTTCAAGCCACTGGGTCTGGGACTCGAGCCGTGGTCAACTACATGGGAGTGCAGTGACATAGCCATTATGCCAACTGCTGGTCCCCACCATTAAGTATATTACCTGTGGGTTATACATAGATGCCTTTGTTAGGTTGAAAAGTTCCCTTCTATTCTTAGTTTGTCTCAATTTTTATCGATGAGAGGATTTTGAATTTTTTTTCTGTTTATGTGGAGATGGTCATAGAGGATTTTTTTCAAAATTAATGTGGTATATTGCATTAATTGAGTTTTGAATGTTCAGCTAACCTTGCACTCCCATGATAAAACATATTTGATCATGGTGTATAGTACTTTTTATATCTTGCCAGATTTGGTTTGCTAGTGTTTTATTGAGAGTTTTTGCATGTACATTTATAAGGGATATTGGTCTGTAGTTTTCTTTTCTTGTAATGTCTTTGTAATGAGGCCTGGTAATACTGGCTTCATATAATGAGTTGGAAGGTGGTTCCTACTATTGTGTATATATGTGCCTTAAAAAAATTATTTATTTAATTTTATTTATTCATTTATTTATTTTAATTTGACTAGAGAAAGACAGACATACAGAGAGAAGAAAAGTGAGAAAGCAAACCACCAGGTCCAGGATTCGAACCATGGTCAGCCATGTGGGAATGCTGCGTGCTTTAACCACCACGGTACCTGCAGGCCTTATATATGTCTTTTTAAAATGTCTGGTGGACTTTTGTGTTTTGATACACCTGCAGCAAAACGTTACCAAAATCAAAGCTGTTTAGACTGGTAAAGTTGTTGTGAAATTCTATTTGGTAATGTACTTTCTAGAAATGCAGAGTGGTAAACCAAACCGATGTAAGATACAGGAAGGGTATGAAATGGTTTTCTGACTCTGATGACTGAAACATTTCATCATAAATATACTATGGCATAATTAATTTTCTTGGACATTATAAATGGTGTATTAATCTTAAAAGCACAGCAGCTTAAGGAGCATGTTTTAAGTGAAGAAGTTTATATTTTTAGCTAGTAGAAGATATGTTCTTAAGATACGAAACATAAGCTATTTTGTTCAGAATGAAAAAATTTTTCCAGAATGAAAAGTAATCGGGAAGGCACATCAGTCATTTGTCCAATGACCTATTTGGTGATCAGCTCTTTTTAAAAGTGAAAACAGCATGGTAGCTACAATTCCTTGCTTTTTGCCCTATGTCCTACCCCATACCCCTTAGAAAAGTTCAAAGGTGACTTCTAGGAGACTACCACCACATGTTCTAACAGAGTAATGAAACTGTCCATTTTTTGGTAAATCCTAAAACATAGTAATAATGCATGAATAGATAAAAGCATTCTTTTTGCACTTTTAAAGTAAAGTGTTAAGTATGCTTTGAATGAGATCGTGAGCAGACATGAACAGTCAATGTGTGTGTATTTTGTAAGCATGTTTGTATCTCCCAAGTTCTATTTACTATTTTAAGAAGTCAGATTTAGCTAGTAACATATTGTTACTTAAAGGAATATGATTAGCTTCACTAGTAAAAGTGTAAACCTAGGGATTTGTTAATTATACATTTTGATCTTTCATATGATATATGGAATTCCTGCTCTCAACATAATCATAGCTTTCTGGCTAGAGGCTAAGAGGTATCTAGCTCTTCACGCTGTAGCTAATGAGTTAGGCGTGCCCTGGAAATGGAAGTCTGCTGCTCCCTGTAAAGGTCACCTTCTCAATACCATTACATTTCTGATTATTTTACTCCTAAATTGGTGAGCCAGCTTTCTCTCTATTTAGCTGGCACGTCGTGAATTAGTTGCCAGGACTCATGTCCTCTACGTGTGTCAGGATGAGAATTCCCTCCTAGCTCGGGCAGGATTGAAAGCAAGAAATAAAATCACCAATACATGAACAGCCTGGCTTGATCTACATCATACTGGGTTGTCAGGAAAGTCGTGATGCATTTTGCATAGAAAAACATGTCACGACTTTCCTGACAACCTACTGTATAGGATATGATAAAAGCACATTGTACGACCTAACACATCTCTTTCTCAAATAAGTCAGTCTTTGACCATTTTCATTAGTCACCAGAAATGTGGATATAGGTGTTCCAAAATTTATTCTGAAAAAAATTTAAGTGATTTATGGGAAAAGGGAACAGTAGATTTTTCTTCCTGTCATTGTTATGATATCTCACATAATTTGTGTTTTCTAAGCATGCTGAAAGCCAGTAAGGAGAGAGAATTATGTAGGAAATGTAGCCCAGGAAAATCAACAAACAACAGGGAAATGTCAGCCGAAGGTGAAAATGTGCCCTGGAAAATTAAGAGGCGTTCTAATTTGAATGTAGGTCAAAATTCTGTCATGTGTGAGTGGTGTTATCGAGGCCTACCGTCCAACCCCTCTCACCAGGTGCTTAACCCATTTATCTGGCTTAGCTCGAGATAGTGCCTGCTCACGGATTAGGTTTGGCAGTTTGCAGCACTTGTTTTACTTTTAGTCACTTGTTTTACTTTTAGTCATCACTAAGTTCTTTTTAAAAAATCAGTTTTATGTTCAAGTAAACAACTGGTTGTTGTACAAGCTTCTTATGGAGAACAGTGTTCTTTGATCCCTTCCCTACCAACTTTTTGCCATTTCCCAATAACCACTTTCAAAATATTAGTTTTTTTTTATGTTTACCTCCATATATCAGGCTGCTAAATTCTTCATAAACAGGACACACACTTATAGAACACACGTGCACATATATGTGAACATACACAAAAACAGGTTTTAAAAATATTTCTGGGGGGCCAGTAGGTGGCGTAGTGGTTAAGGCGCTGGATTCCCACATGACCAACCTTGGTTCGCGTCCTAGAACTGGCAACTTCTTTCTCACTTTCCCTTTCTCTCTCTCATTGAATTAAAAAACAACAGTAAATAACATTAAGTAAATATTCCTTAAAAAAATATATTTCTGGGGACCAGCAGGTGTCATGGTGGTGAAGGTGCTGGACACTCCCACATGGTTGACCGAGGTTCGAGTACTGGACCTGGTGGCTTGCTTTCTCACTTTCCCTCTCTCTCTGTGTGTATCCCTCTCTGGTCAGATTAAAATAATATATATATATATTTCTGGAGGCCAGCAGATGATATAGTGGTTAAGGCACTGGACTCCCACATGGCCAACTGTAGTTTGAGTGACTTGAAGCATATGCCAGGCATGGGTGTGTGTGCACCCAAAGTCCTGAGATGAGAATGGAGGAGAAGGGATTGCAGTGTGGCCATACCCCCTGGGGAGCGATTGCTCATATTCCCATCTCTGTCTCTGTCACTTACTCTCTCAAGCACATATGCCCTATGGCAAAAAACTTTAAAATATACGTATTTCTGATTGGTATAGTTACATGAAAAGTGTTCAAGATGAGCATCATCTGTCTTTTACTTCTGTGTATATTACTCTCTTACATCAGTTCTAGGAGGTTTATGATAAAACAACATGCTAATGTGGTGGTGAGATTTTGAAAATCTCTGTTCCTTTATCCACACTTGGAAGAAATATCCTTTTTAGTGTTCCCAAAATTGCTATTTCTCTTGAAATGAAAGCGTAAGTAACTTCCATACATTCTGCAATTTTTCAGAATTTCAGACTTTGAAAAGAAAGCAAAAGATCACTCTGAGATTGAAACCCAGACAGAGGGGAGCACAGAACAAGAGAATGAAGAGAAGAGCACTGTGAGTACTCTCGTGGCAGGACTGCTGCCACACTCCCCGTGCTGTTAACAGAGTGGCAGCATGGCTGTGTTTCAGTCTCATGATGCGGTTTTTGCTTTAGAAATACAGAAATAATACTGAGGTCGGATATTTTCTATTTCCCTCATGTTTCCTTGTCCTGGTTTAAACTTCATTCAGTGTCAGTTGTAGTCAGATGCATTCCTGTGTCTCTTCGTGACTCTTTTCCACTCCTAAATTCCTAGACTAACAAGTTCACTAAATGAAAAGGAATTTTGTCTAGTTTATACTGAGATCACTTGAGTATGTGACTCAGAAACTTAAAGCAGAATTGAAAGTTATTGGTTCTGGTTCTACTGGTTTGAATAAAGCAGTTTTATTGAACGAGACTCATTTATAGAAGAGGGCTTTAAAGTATTCATGGAAAATGCATTTTATGAGGAAAAAATGCATGGATTTCAAAATGTTTTTACACCAAAATAAATGAAGACTTTCATTCCATTTTTCCATGAACCTTTTGAAGTTAGATTATCTTTTGAGTGTTCACTTGGAGGTGTGCCTTTGAAGCCTTCAGAATCTTAAGTTAAGAGATCATGAAATCATGAATTTATGATAACTATAGTAGGATATGTAAAAGGCTTTAACATAATAAAACACTCACTGTCTCTGATTCACTTATTCAGCAAACATGTGTAGCAAATGCCCGACCTGAGGATGTCATGTAGGGGGCTGAGTCCCCTCCTTTCAAGAGAATGGAATACATTTAGAACACTGAGATGAGGAGACCACCAGTGAGTAATAGAACTGTGGGAACTAAGAGTAATTCAATAACCAATAATAGAGACACATTGAGACTTCCAAGGTGTCATGAAACTCACTTACAAAAATTGTAGGGCAGCTGGAAGAAAGGCTGTACAATAAAAATAGGTACATAAGCTAGAAACACAGATTGGCAAAGGACTATGGGAGTGCATTGTTAGCTAGGTAAATGAGACAGTGCTTTGCCATCTCTGTTTTCTGTGATCTTCTGAACTATGAGTTCATTTTAATAGTGATAAAGTCATTATCATCATTACATATGCACTGAATTGATCAGTTAATACTCTTAGGAAACAGAGTTGTATCCAAAACATTTCTTTCCAGACAAGATAATTGAGGTGTTTGTCAAAGTCAAAGCATTTCACCAGTCTCAATTGGATATTAGTGGCTCAGACTGTTTTCTCACAGAGGTCCATTTAATTTCTTTTTTAAAAAAATTATTATGGAGCCAGCAGGTGGCATAGTGGTTAAGGCAACTGGACTCCCACATGGCTGACCACGGTTCAAGTCCCAGACCTAGCAGCTTACTTTCTCACTCTCCTCTCTCTCTGGTCAGCTTCAGAAAAGTAAAAAATTAATAAAATAAAGACAATGAGTAAAGTTAAATAAAAAATAATTCTTAAAAAAGAATGATTTATTGGGAACCAGCAGTTAGCATAATGGCTATGTCGCTGGACTCCACGTAGTCGACCGCGGTTCAGGTCCCGGACCCGGTGGCTTAGAACACACGCCGGGCGCGTGTGCATGCGTGCCCAAGATGAGAATGGAGGAGAAGGGATTGCGGCGTGACCATCCCCCCTGGGGGGTGATTTCTCGCTTTCTGTCTCTATGTCTCTCTCTGTGTCTGGCGAGCGCACGCGCCCTATAGCAAAAACCTCTCCAAAATTTGTTATTATTATTATTTTAAATTTGCTATTGGCATGTGCACTAACCAGTGAGAAACAAGAGAGAGAAAGGGAGAGTAGGAGAAAGCAGGATGCCAGGTCTTGGACTTAACTGTGGTCACTATATGGGAGTCCAGTGCCCCAATTGCTGTGCCATCTGCTAGCCCCAGAGGTCCATTTAATTTCTGATGACGGTCACAAATGTGTGATTAGGACTTCCTATGTGACAGGCTGGAAGTGAAGTGGAAACACTAAGCCTTCAGGTGACATCCCTGTTTAAGGAGCTTCAAGAGGCTCATACAAAACTGAGTGAAGCTGAGCTAATGAAGAAGAGACTTCAAGAAAAGTAAGTACCAGAGATCAATTTCATTCTGCTTTGAAAAATACACATTTCTATAACGCATGTTGCTATAAAAAATAGTTTTCTCACTATGTTACTAATAGAAAAATAGAGACCTAATTAGAATAGGAATCCAGAAAACACTAATGTACTGATTAATCTATAAGCATGAAATATGTGTTGTAATGTGGGAGAAGTAGGCTGGGCAACTTCAATTCTGCTCTTTGTGGGTATTTGTTAAACATATTGGACTAGCCTGCATGAGACCTGTACAAAGCTGGGAGCTAAATTTCCTGTGCCTGTCTTAAACTGACATGAACTAAGAGTTGAAAAGATCATAAGGGGCTTAAGTGAGTTTATTTAGAAGAAAAATCAATTTCAATCAATTTTTTAAAGAATTATTATTTAACCTTATTTATTTGTTTGTTTTATTTGATCAGAGAGGGAGAGAGTGAGAGGCAGAGAGAGAGAAGGAGGTAGGGAGGGAGAGAGAGAGAGAGAGAGGGAAGGTGAGAAAGCAAGCCACCAGGTCTGGGATTCAAACCATGGTCAGTCATATGTAAATCCAGTGCCCTTAACCACCACGCCACCTGCTGGCCCCAATTTCAATCAGTTTTTTTAATTGATTATTAAAGCTAGCATATATATTGGTAATTCTTTATTTGCTTATTTCTCTTGATGTAAGAAGCTGCCTCAGACTTGATAAAGCTAAGCTAATATTGTTCTGTTGGATCAGTTGGTAAACATGTTTGTAGTGCAGTATATGGGTGCATGTTTTCTTGGGGTTTTACTTACCAACACACCACAGTATTGTGGTTATCTGTTATAGCCTAGCAGCTAAAGCTAAGGACTTTGGGGGCTGACAGGTAGTGTGGTGGTTAAGGACTCTGGACTCCAACATGGCATACCGCGGTTCAAGTCCCAGACCTGGCAGCTTGGTTTCTCACTATCCCTCTCTGTCCCTCTCTGGTCAAATTTTAAAAATAAGAAATGGTTAAATTTTAAAAAAAAAAAAAAAAAAAAATTAAAAAAAAAAAAAAAAAAGCTGAAGGTTTTGGACAAGCAGACCTTAGATTTCAAATATAGGTCTACAGTTTATTTGTGGTATTACCTTGGTCAAGTTATTTATTTAACCTCTCTAAACATCTACCTTGTCATTTGTAAATTGTGTCATAATTTCCTTTTTGTGTTCGTTATATTAAATAAGAAGCTTAATGCACTTGGTGGTGTTAATGCCTTGCACATAAGCTGTCATTTATTTGTCTTTGCCATCATTGTATTGATTTTCTCTTTTTGATCTTTTTATCCTTTTCGGGAGAGATTTTTGCTATAGGGTGCATGCACTCACCAGAGAGAGAGAAAGACAGAGAGACAGAAAACAAGAAATCACCCCCCCACACACACACAAAGGAGGATGGCCATGACACAATCCCTTCTCCTCCATTCTCCTTCAGGATTTTGGGCATGCATATGCACATGCGCCCAGCATGAGTTTCAAACAGTAGGGCCTGGACTTTGAACTGTGATGGACTATGTGGGAGCCCAGCAATGTAACCATTACGCCATCTGCTGGTCCCTCTTTGTGATCTTTTAAGAGAACTTAGGGGCACTTCCTTTTTCCCCTTATTGTCAGAAGTTGAAGTCTGACAATATTGATTGACAGAATCTATAACTTTTTGAAATGTCCATGGCTCACAATATGAGAAACATACTGTCAGCCAATTACTTTTGTGGCCTGTGTTTCACAAAAATTTATTTGCATGGGGACCAGCAGATGACATGATGGTTACATCACTAGACTCCCACATAGTCGCATGTGATTCAAGTCCTGGTCCTAGTGGCCGAAACTTACGCCAGAGCATGTGCATGCATGTCGAGAATTACAAGAGGAGAAGGGATTGTGGCATGGCTATCCCCTGGGGAGGTGACTTCTGGCTTTCTCTCTTTCTCTCTTTCCAGTGAGTGTACATACCCTGTAGCAAAAATCTCTCTTTCAAAAAAAAAGTATTTGCATGACTACTTTAAATATTGGCTTATCTGAAAAGTCATAATGCATTTTCGCATAGCAAAACATTTAAAAAAAATACATCATGACGTTTCTGACAACCCAATAATTATTCAAAGTACACAATACTTCTTAGATCTGTATATTTTTTTTATGTTTAGACAAAAGGGTTCAGAAATATTGCCAAATAGGGACCAGCAAGTAGCATGTGGTGAAGGTGCTGGATCCCATATGGCCAGCCATGGTTCAAGTTCCGAACCTGGAGGCTTGCTTTCTGACTTTCCCTTTCTCTCGTCTCTCTCTGGTCAAATTAAAAAAAAAAAAAATTATAATGAATAAAATTAAATAATTATTTAAAAAAATATATTGCCAAGTCTAGTATAGAAGCCAGGAAAATAAAAAGATTTTACTTTGCATTCACAAATCCTATAGCCCTATAATTCTTCATATTTTACATAATCTTGGTAATTGTTTAAAAGCCACTGAGAAGTGAAGGAACATTGTTTATCCTCCTGAAATCTTGATCTTTCTTAGGTGTCAAGCCCTTGAAAGAAAAAATTCGGCAACCCCATCAGAGTTGAATGAAAAGCAAGAGCTTGTTTATAATAACAAAAAGTTAGAACTACAAGTGGAAAGCATGCGATCCGAAATCAAAATGGAGCAAGCAAAAACAGCAGATGAAAAGTGAGTATGCTGGGACCAGCAGATGGCATGATAGTTAAAAGCACTGAACTATCACATGGCTGACCGTGGTTCAAGTCCTGGACCTGTTAGCTTGAAACTCAGACTGGGTGTGTGTGCACACATGCCCAAGATACCAGGAGGAGAATGGAGGAGTAGTGGTTGTGATATGGCCATGCCCCTGGGGAGTGATTTCTCGCTTTCCCTCTCACTGTCTCTGTCTCTCAGAGGGAGAGTACCTACCCTATGGAAAAAACCCTTTAAAAAAAAAGAGAGAGAAAGAACGAAAGAAAGAAAGAATGAAAGAACGAAAGAAAGAAGAGTGAGGATGCCATAATGGAATAGCCACTTGTCCAGAGTACATAGAGTAGCTTTTTTTGTTTGTTTAAATACAGGCTAAAATTAGGATTTGAGAGCAATTTTATAAAAATTTCCTTTTTGCATATTTGAAGCAGTACTAGGAGACTTTTCAGAGGAGATGAAAGTAAAAAGTTTTGTTATAACAAAATTATGAAAATTATATATCATTCTTTTTTTTTAAAGATTATTTTCTCTGTGAATAATAAAATGCCAGTAGGAGGTGGGATAATAAGGGTAGGAGAGATTATGCTACTTGAGGTTTCTGAAGACAGCTGGGAGGTAACAGTGTAAGTTTCTATTTTTCCCCCATAATTTCATTTTTAATATCTTTTTTAATAGGTCCAAATTAGCTGTTCTGCAGTTGACATACAGCACGCTTCTTCAAGAACATACTAATGCACTAAAAACAATTGAGGAACTAACAAAAAAAGAGGTATTTATTAAAAACCATTATTACCACAGTCTAGAAATGAATGTAAACTGTTGAATGTTTCATAGTTAATGAATTCTTAACTAAGTCTGGTTTCAAAGGTAGTTTTCCAGTTTATTATTGATTTCTTTTCTTAAAAGAATTATTTTATCTTTTGTATTCATCATCATCATTGTTATTAATTTGACCAGAAAGAGACAGAGAGAGAGAGAGAGAGGGAAAGTAAGAAAGCAAACTGTCAAGTCCAGGACTCAAACTGTAGTCAGCCATGTGGGAGTCTAGTACCTTAACCACCATGCCCTTGCTGGCCCCACTATTGATTCTTGTGTCTTAAGAGGTTCTTCAGATGTCTAACACACTTTGTGTATAAAGATGGTGGAGGGATCCCACAGAGTATGCACTAGTATTTCTAAGAATAGGTTTGTAGGAGAGCTAAAAACATGGGCTCCTGTGTGAATGGAGCATAGCGAGACAGCTGACGGGCCAGCAGGGCCATGTGTTGTCTGGAACTGCGCTGGGCCACTTGCCTGCTGTCAGTGAATTTGGGACCTAGTACTCATCAACCTGCTGTTTAAATTAGTGATAATCTCCAGCATGCTCTGAAATGTAAAGACCATCAGTGTGTTGAATTAAAAGGGTCTTTGACTTTATATCCTTATAAATATAATCTTTGTTTTTCATTTATTTGATTTATTTCTTAAGAGAGATTTTCGCTATAGGGTGTGTGCACTCGCCAGACAGTCAGAGAGACAGAAAGCGAGAAATCACCCCGCAGTGGGGAATGGCCACGCTACAATTCCTTCTCCTCTATTCTCCTCTTGGGATTTTGGGCACACATTCACATCTGCCCAGTGTGAGTTTTAAGCTGCCAGGTCCAGCCCTCAAACTGCGGTGGACTATGTGGGAGCCCAGTGATGTTACCATTACACCATCTGCTGGTCCCTGTTTTTCATTTATTTTTAATAGAATATTTTTCTTCTCTAAGACCTAATAGATTTTAAATTTAAAGATGTTTTTTGGGGCTGGCAGGTGGTATGGTGATTAAGGGCGCTGGATTCCCACATAACTGATGCGGTTCAAGTCCCGGACCTGGCGACTTGTTTCTAACTTTCTCTCTCTCTGTCCTTCTCTGGTCAAATTGAAAGAAAGAGAGAGCAAGAGAAAGAAAGAAAGGGGGAGAGAACAAGAAAGAAAGGAAATCCCCAGAAAAAAATTTAAAGATGTTTCTTCCTCTTCACTGACTTCACAAAATAAGAGTAAGAGTAAGTGTGGAAAAATTACAGTATCAATGAGTCACAACCTTATCAAGACTGGGGTTTGTTACAATTTCCTTATTTTAGGGTTATCTTTTTTGAATTGTTGTTTTAAATTAGGAAATTATTTGAAATCTTGAAGTTATATGATTACAACTTTTTTAAATAAGTTAGCATTACTAATTAACTAATGTACTGCCAATAATTTTGAAAAAGTAATTTTTTATCTAATATTTTACTACATCAGTTGAATTATTTCAAGACCATTTCTAGAATAATGTTGTCTTTTTTAGTCAGAAAAAGTAGATAAGGTGGTGCTGCAGGAACTAAGTGAAAAACTGGAACTGGCAGAGAAGGCCCTGGCTGCCAAGCAGCTTCAAATGGACGAGATGAAGCAGACCATCGCCAAGCAGGAAGAGGACCTGGAAACCATGACTGTCCTCAGGGCTCAGGTAAGATTCATTCTGAATCCCACACTGAGTGAAGCCAACCTTGGTTACAGTCTCAAATGGGAGTGATTTTAAAAGTACCTTGTTCATTTTATATTTTTTTCCAGAAATGAATTTTCAGTTGAAACATGTGGAAAGTGCACCAAACCTTAGTGCGCACCGCTCATTGAGTTTTATCTATCTGCACTAAGGTTGATAGGTAGGTGCGCTGTTTCCAGTTTGTGGCATTAAGGTTATTGTTGCTATGACATTCCTACATGCCTCTTTGTTCACAGGTGCACTCATTCCTGTTGGGTGCGCACCTAGGAGTGGAATCGCTGGTTCTTAAGCTATGCCTGTTACTCAGTTTTAATAGGTAGTACCAAACAGTTTTCCAAAGTGGTTATGCCAGTTTTCACCCCATCAATAGTGCTTCCATTCTACCAGCACTTGTATTGTCAGTCATTTCACTTTTAACCATTCTGGTGCCTATCTAGTGATATCTCATCTAATTTGTGTTTCGCTGGCGACTAATGAGGTTGAGTACTGTTTTACGTGTGTTAATTGGCCTTCTGGGTATCCCCTTTTGTAAAATGACTGATTAAGTCTTTGCCCTTTTTTTCTTTTTTACCTTTCTCTTGATTTTATAAGTTATGTATGTACTCTGCAGACAAACCCCTGCCATTTATTTTTGCCTCTTCACTTTCATAAAGGGGTTTCTTGATGGACAAAAGTTCTTAATTTAAGATACTCTTTATCAGTCTTCTCATTTATGCTTAGTACTTTTTGTGTCCTGTTTAGGAAATTTTATACCCAAAGGCCATGAAGATATTCCCCTAAAATGTCTTATAAAATTTTGTCATTCCACATTAAGATCTACATTCACTTGCCTATGATCCAAGGCGCCTGAGGCTTGGGGTGGATCATGGCATCAAAGCCCTGTTGGGGGTTTTTCTCTCTCTGTCTCTCTTGTTCTTAAAAGAAATAAGTATATAAACTTTTTTTAAAAGACTTATTTATTTAACTCCATTTCTTCTTATTATTTTTTATTTGACCAGAGAGAAACAGAGAGAGAGAAAGTGAGAAAGCAAGCCCCCTGGTCCAGGATTTGAACCTTGGTCAGCCATGTAGTAATCCAGCACTTTTAACCACCATGCCACCTGCTAGCCTTATATATAAACATTTTTATAAACCTCTTTTTTTAAAAATGATATATAGCACCCAACATGTTTGCAGTTCAATGAATAGCACTTATTATTTATTTAATTTTATTTATCATTATTGTTATTATTTTTAATTCACCAGACACAGAGAGAAAGAGAAGGGAAAATGAGAAAAGCAAGCCACCAGGTCCAGGATTCGAACTGTGGTCAGCCATGTGATAGTCCAACACCTTAGCCACGATGCCACCTGCTGCCCTGAATAGCATTTATTATTATCATTATGTTAAATTTGGCTTCAGACCAGCCTTCATAAATATACCTAGAAGAATGAGTAAACCACTAATACTACTATTTAAAAACAAAAAAAGCCAGAGAGTTTTGCTGAACTCATGGTGCATCTATATTTAGATCACCTATCTCAGTGCAGTCATAGGGTTCTAATTATTTTAAAGCACACACTGTGTTTACAATTTGAATGTCATTGGTAAGCTGTCAGCCAGTTGTTATACTGGTTTCTTGCAGGGCTGTTACCTGTCATTGAAGAGGCCTCTCAAATAGCAAAGCATGCATGCTGTTTCTTCACCTCATAAACAAATGAGCTGTGAGAGTTCATTTTCGTCTTGGTAGTGACTTGCGTATATTTTTTCCTTTTTTTTTTTTTTTTTTTTGGAGAAGTTTTTTGCTATAGGGCGCATGTGCTTGCCAGACAGATAGAGAGAGACAGAGAGACAGAAAGCGAAAAATCACCCCCCCCAGGGGAGATGGCCCCACCACAATCCGTTCTTCTCCATTCTCCTCTCGGGATCTTGGGCACGCACACACACGTGCCCGGCATGAGTTTTAAGCCACCGGGTCCAGGACACAAACCGTGGTTGACTACGTGGGAGTTCAGCGACATAGCCATTACGCTAACTGCTGATCCCTATTTTTTCCTCTTACAGATGGAGGTTTACTGTTCTGATTTTCATGCTGAAAGAGCAGCAAGAGAGAAAATTCATGAAGAAAAGGAGCAACTGGCATTGCAGCTGGCAATTTTGCTGAAAGAGAATAATGCTTTTGATGATGGAGGCAGGTAAGGTAAACAGACGGGGGCGGGGGGGACCTGCAGGTGGTGTGGGGATTGGGGGCACTGGACTCACACATGGCTGACCATGGCTTGAATCGTGGACCTTGTGGCTTTCTTTCTCTCTCTCTCTCTTTCACTCTCTCACTCTCTAGCTCTCTGGTCAAATTGAAAGGAAGGGAGGGAGGGAGGAAGGAAGGAAGGAAGGAAGGAGAAAGGAAGGAAGGATGGAAAGAAGTTAGTTAAATAAAATAATTCTTAAAAAAAAAAAAAACTCAAGTTAGTCTCACGTTCTGTTTTTTATGAACCCAGGCATTGTATTGATAGTTTGACTCTTTTTTTCTCATACTTCTGTTGACTGCCTTAGGTTGTCATGCATCAGAGTTGTGGAACCTCACGTACAGTGTTGCTTTTACTCCCAGTAGGCAGTCCTTGATGGAAATGCAGAGCCGTCATGGGGCAAGGACAAGTGACTCTGACCAGCAGGCTTACCTTGTTCAAAGAGGTGAGTCTCATGATTCTAAGTTTCCAGGAAATAACAATGGCCCATAGAGAAGATGCTTGAAGAAAAAATTCCACTGCATTCTATACAACAGATTCCAATCAAGCTACCAAAAATATAGCAACCACCATTTGCACAGTATTCTGAAATCCATCCATTGCTCACTGAATCCAGACTAGACTTTTTACCTTGCCAGATAAGGCCTGGCATGGCTGGACTTCTGTACATACTGGTCAGTCTGAATCATCCCCTTCAACTTGTCCTAAGTCCATATTTGCATATATTTGTTTGTGCAATATCTTCCCATATATACCTGTCCTGTCTTCCCAAAGTCTCTTTTTCTTTTTTTAAAGGTTTTGTCATAGGGCATGTGCATTCACTATTGAGAGAGACAGTGAGAGGAAAAGTAAGAAATCACCCTCCAGGGAAATGGCCACACTGCAATCCCTTCTCCTCCATTCTTCTAGGATTGGGTATGCATGCACATGCGCCCAGTGCGATTTTCAAGCCACCAGGTCCAGCTGGAATTCACACTGTGATCGGTGATGTGGGAGTCTAGCGCTATAACTACCACACCACCTGCTGGCCCCCAAAGTCTCTTTCTAGTGAATTGTTACCTCATGTTTAAAACTTATTTCAAATTCCACCTTCATGATTCATTTCCCTCCTGAACTTCCACAGTATTTTATTTCTCTGTTTTATTTCTCATACAGGAAAAAAAAAAAAACCCAGCTTAAAGTAAATATTAAATATAGTGATTCAGGTTAAAAGTAAACCTAGTATTATTTATGAGGCATATGAGAAAAGATAACCCAGGGCCTAATGTAAATATTAGCCTTGGGCACTTCACAGCGTCAGTGGGTAAAGCTGTGTTCTGCTCTAAAAGTTGTGTCTGCACACTTGAATGCTGCCAGGCACTTTCTCTATCCTGACTTTGAATATTCAGGAAGACCTGTATTCCTGATTTCTAGAAGCACCCTACAAGATTATATTGGGTCAAATGGATTTAAGAGAGAATTTTTCTTCTTTGTAACTATAGGAGGCAAATTTCTATTTATATAAGAAAAAAGAACTGATGGGGCCAGCAGGTGGCATGGTGGTTGAGGTGCTGGACTTCCACATACCAACCGTGGTTTGAGTCCCAGACCTGGAGGCTTGCTTTCTCACTTACCTCCCCCCACATCCCGTCCCCCCCCCCATCCCGGTCTCTCTCTGATCAAATTGAAAAGAAATAAAATTAATTAATTCAATAAAATAATTCTTAAAAAAAATCAAATAGGGACTAGCAGATGGCGTAATGGTTACATCACTGGACTCTTACATAGTCTACCACAGTTTGAATCATAGACCCAACAGCTTGAAACTCTCACCAGGAGCATGTACATGTATGACCAAGATTCCAAGAGGAGAATGGAGGAGAAGAGATTGTGGTGTGGCCATCATCCCTTGTGGGGATGTCTCTCTCTCTCTTTCACTTTCTGTCTCTCTCTCTCTGGCAAGCACATGTGCCCTATAGCAAAAATCTCTCAAAAAAAATTTTAAATAGAAAAAAGAACTGATCAAATAGTCTTTGACTTAGTTTTATCATTTAAAGATCTTCACAAAGTGTAAATTTATTCTTAATTATCCTAGAAAGCTTTTTTTGTCATGACAAATTCTAAATAGAGAATTGTCTTAGATTTTTTAGTTTCTGAACAGACTGCTTTATAAACTGTCTCCATTAGTTTATTTTATCATTGTCAGCAGCAGCCATTTAAGTGTCTACTGTTCCTTAATACTCTGCTAAGCACTAGGAGCCAGAAAGGCCTAACCCATTAGGCTGTAGACTAGTTGAAGAGACAGTATGTACATATAAAAAGCTGAATTACAGGGCCAGAAGGTAACGTGAGGTTAAGGTACACTGACTGTCACTTGGCCTACCGTGGTTTGAATCCCAGACCCGGAGGGTCTGATATTCACACTGGGTGTGTATACATATATGCCCAAAATCACAAAAGGAAAAGAGATTTCAGTGTGGCCATCCCCTCAGGGTGGGTGTGATTTCTCACTTTCTCTTTCTCCTTGTCTCTCTTTGGAGAGACTCCCACATTGTTTACTGTGGTTTGAGTCCCAGACCTGGAGGCTTGAAAATCACACTGGGCGTATGTGCATGCATGCACCCTTGTCAAAAACCTTAAAAAAATAAACGAATGAAGGGGCCAGCAGATGGCATGGTAGTTAAGGTCACTGGACTCCCACAGGGCCGACCACCATTCAAGCCCTGGATCTGGCAGCTTGCTTTCTCACTTTCTTTCTCTTGCTCTTACTCTGTCTCTCTCTGGTCAAGTTAAAACAAGTAAAGTTAAAATAAAATAATTCTTTAAAAATAAATAAATGAAAAAGAATTGCAAGATAGCACATGAGTAGTAAAAAGAATAGTGCTGAAACTTCAGAGGAAAGGATGATTGCTAAGGGCCAGGGGAGGTATGAAAGGCCTTGAGAAGATGTGACTTTAAGCTTGACCTTGATGCTAGGAGTTAGGTAAATGTGGTACGAGTGCAAAAGAGCAAAAGCAGAAATGAGTATGATGTGTTGATAATTACCAAGCTTGAGGCCAGGTGGTACACACTGGTGACCCAACTGGATCTATATGAAAAAGGTCCTGGGTTTGTCCTGGGACCTCCCTAAGTATGCCAAGGGCATACCTGTGATCTTTGCTAGCTGGGACTGGGGGCAGATCACAATACGAAGATACAAGGTGCCCTTGTCTTTCATCCCACCCCCTCTTTGTTGAAAAAAATAGATAAACTTTTTCAAATAAGTGGGGCCAGCAGGTGTTAAGGAGCTGAACTCCCACATTGTTTACTGTGGTTTGAGTTCCAGACCTGGAGGCTTGAAAATCACACCGGGCACATGTGCATGAATGCCCAAAATCGTGAGAGAAGACTGGAGGAGAAGGTTGTGGTGTGGCCGTTTTTTCTAGAGGGTTGGTTTCTCATTTTCCTTCTCACTGTCTGTCTCTGACTTCTCTCCAGCGAGCACATACACCCCGTGACAAAAACCTAAAAAACAAAAATAAATAAAAGGCTCAGCTTATAGAGTGAAGAGCCAAGAAATCAGAGAATGCAGGAGTAGACTGGTACAACAGCCCAAGCATGGGTCTTGAAACCTAGTCCAGGACAAACATGGAAAGGACCAATAGAGGCAACCAACTTTAAAATGAAGAATCAGCAGTCCCTGACAGATGGCTGGTTGTTGCATGGAATAAGGTTTAGCAAACTAAGCCCACAGGCCAGCTCTCACCCGCTACCTATTTCTATTAAGTAAAGTTTTATTCATATGTAGTCATGTTTATATTTTCTCTACAGTTGCTTCCATGCCAACAGTAACAGAAAGCTTCCTGCTTCAGAAATCATGCTGAATATATGATTCAATATATTCAATATATCTGTTTAAAAATATGTCTTAAGTTTGCTGAACACAAACTATTAATATTATTGTTATTTTAAAATAATGTACATAAAATTAAATAACCCTTCACTGTTTCATCTCCAAAACCAACATCTTAGGGGCTGAACCAAAGTCTGGGCTGAGACTTCTAAGAAAACCAGAATGGTTTGCATTGGTCCAAGAAGGTCAGGTCAGAGAGATGCAAAGCAATTTCCAGCCTTGATCAGCTTGTATTGTTTTAGGACCTACTTTGAGTCAGTGCTTATTTTAAGCATTCTCTAATTTAGGCCTGAACCTCAGCACAACTCCATAATGGGAGGAAGAGAAGAGACTCATTCTTCATTTTTTTCTCAATAACTTCACTCAGTGGTATGGTTTATATCTCCCTCAAAATTCATGTGTTAAAATTTGGTTGCAAGGGTATTAAGGGGAAACTAATACCTTCATGGTATCAAAAAGTGGGTCCTTTGGGAGTAATCAATTAGGGTGAGGTCCTTATAAGTTTTTAAGGAGAACGGAGACAGAGACACACACAACCCAGACAATTTTCTCTTGTCCTCCCTCATGTTGTGATGGCCCTTAGATTTTGACCTCCAGACCATGAGGAAGATGAGCTAAATAAACCACTAGTCTCTTGGGATCAGCAGTTAGTGTAATGGCTATGTCGCTGGACTCCTGTGTAGTCGACCACAGTTCGAGTCCCAGACCTGGTGACTTAAACTCATGCCGGGCTCATGTGCTCACATGCCCAAGATCCTGAGAGGAGAATAGAGGAGAAGGGATTATGGCATCCTCCCGGTGGGTAATTTCTCTCTTTCTGTTTCTCTTTCTGGTGAGAGCGCATGCCCTATAGCAAAAACCTCTAAAAATAAGTAAACAAACAAATAAACAGACCACTATTCTCTTTTTTTTTTGGAGAGATTTTCACTGTAGGGCGCGTGCGCTCGCCAGACAGACAGAGAGAGACATAGAGACAGAAAGCGAGAAATCACCCCCCAGGGGGGATGGTCACGCCGCAATCCCTTCTCCTCCATTCTCCTCTCGGGATCTTGGGCACGCATGCACACGCGCCCGGCGTGAGTTTTAAGCCACCGGGTCCGGGACGTGAACTGCGGTTGACTACATGGGAGTCCAGCAACATAGCCATTACGCTAACTGCTGGTTCCCACTATTCTCTTAAATTACCCAGACTGAGGTATTTTCTGTCATTACCAACACAATGGACTAGATCACTTGGATAACCCCTGCTCTCTCTTCAGGTCTCTCTTGAGTGTAATTAGTCTTACCCAGAAGGCCTTTCTACCCTGAGGTATTTAAAGTCCTCTGCCCGGGGCAGCAGGTGACGTAGTGGTTAAGGGCACTGGACTTCCACATGGCCAACTGCAGTTCAAGTCCTGGACTGGGCAGGTTGCTTTCTCACTTTCCCTCTCTCTCTTTCTCTCTCTCTGTCCCTCTCTGGTCAAATCAAAATAAATAAATACAGTTAAATAAAATAATAATTTAAAAATATATGAAAATAAAGTCCTGGGCCCTTCTCTTACTCCTGTCATACTCCATTATCCCTGAAGCCTTGCCACTCTGCCACTTCTGCTTCTCTCACTTGGCTTCCCCATTGCTCTGTCATTTGGCTCACAACAGAGGTGCTCTCTCCCCGAGAGGGCTCAGATATATCTGCTGAATAAGTAAGACTGTGAATAAATGCCAACTAAGGGCCAGCAGGTAGTGTGGTGGCCAAGACACTGGACTCCCATGTAGCCAACTGCAGTTCGAGTCCTGGACCGGGTGGCTTGAAACTTAAGCTGGACATGTGTGCGTATGTGCCCAAAATCCTGAGAGGAGAATAGAGGAGAAGGGATTGGGGGCCCTCTGGTCCCCATAGGGGGAGTAATTTCTTGCTTTCTCTCTCTCTCTCTCTGGTGAGCACATGTACCCTATAGCAAAAATCTCTCAAAATAAATGAGTGAATGAATGAATGCCAACTAAATGAGTCTCTGCTTCTGAGAAGGTATACCTTGTTCCAAGAGACCTCACCTGTGTTTTCTTCATTTCTTTCTCCACATTCTCTCCTTTTTATGCAGATATCCTCATTTATCTCCTTTCTTCTCTCAAATACTTTAGTTTTTACCAGAACATATATTATCATGCACCCATGTAACCATTTATTTTCACATTCCTAGAACCTGGAATCGAGTTACAATCCTAAAATAATAGGGAAGCAGGTACTGTTTGGGGAGATTTTCTTTGTGTGTGTACTGTAATAACTTAGAGACCAAATACCTGTTTCACATCCTACTACATATTGGTTACAAAGCTTAATGTTAAAAATTAACCATATGTTACTAAATCAAACCAAACTACCTGCAAGATGGAACTAACGGAGTGACATTTTATTTAATGCTTATTTCCAGGAGCTGAGGACAGAAACTGGCGGCAACAGCAACAACAGAATATTCCAATTCATTCTTGCCCCAAATGTGGAGAAGTTCTGCCTGACATAGATACATTACAAATTCATGTGATGGATTGTATCATTTGAATGTTGATGTTTCACCTCCCAAAACTGTTGGTAAATGTCAGATTTTTTTCCCTCTGAAGGTTGTACTTTTGTGTTATTTGTTTTCATGCAAATATTTTGCCTCATGCTTGTTTTAGGTGAAGAAAAATGTATCTGTTCTAAGTAGAACACTTTGTGGATCTCTATAAACTTCCAGGAATTTTTTATGTTCGGTTTATGTGAGTAGCTGCAGTGCTCCTGTAGTTAATCAGCATGTGACATCATGGGACACAGTCCATGCAATTAGATGGAAGAAGCTTCACTAATAAATTTTTTTAAGAATTTGCTAAAGAGGCACGAAAAACGAAGAGGTCACAGATCTAATCAAGAAAATGAAATATTTTTAAAAATAAATGATATATTACTTCTGTTCATCCATTTGAAATGGATCTATTTGGAACTATGTGTTTGTCTTTATATATTCTAGTTTTAGGGCCATCACAGTAACTTTACCAAAGTTATGACATGACCCTTTTCATGTGAGCATTGTGAGCTTTTACTTCATATCAGGATAAGTGAAAAAATATTGGGATACATGAAGTATATAACATTAAGTTCACTGGATTTGTTGTAACTGTTCACAGTATAAAGAAATTACCCTCATCCTTTCATTGTGCTATAGGTATTGGCTTGTACAGTAGATAGTTGATTACTTTCTAAAAAGAACAACTGTCTATTTTCTGCCTGGATCAGGTTATATCTTCATAATCATAAAATAGTTATTGCAAAATAAAATTTTGCTTATGAATCTTTTACATTGTTCATATATGATTAATTTCATAGTGTGTATTTTCTGTATAAGTTCATTCATTTAATATAAGTTGAATTCTTGGGTAAGTTTCATTAATATTATGAATATAAGCAAATCCCCTTAGTAAAGACCAATATATTATGTTTGAATTAGAAGTTGTTCTTGGCAACAAGGTGAATAGATAGGAATTTGCCATATTTTGTAAACCTACGATTTACCAAGACCAAGACTAGCTAATACTGGACCAGTCATAAAAGTAAACAATGTTGGAACCAGCAGAGGCATAATGGTTTACATCACTGGCCTCCCACATGGTTGACTGTGGTTCAAGTCCCAGACCTGGCAGCTTAAAACTCATGCTAGGTACGTGTGCGTGCATACCCAAAATCCCAAGGGGAGAATGAAGGAGAAGGGATTGTGGTGTGGCCATCCTCCCGGGAGCTGATTTCTCACTTTCAGTCTCTCTCTGTCTCTCCATGGATACACCCTATAGCAAAAATCTCTCTCAAAAAAAAAAAAAAGTAAAGTAAACAATGTCTTTATGCATGTAGGTCTTAAAGCATTTAAGAGAAAGATCCCTTTTGTTTGGATTTATCCTAAGAATCTCTCCTGAATAGGCTTGATTACACACACACACATATACACACACACACTTAAAACAGGGATCAGAATAGTTAATTATAGCTTCATTTAAGAGATCATACTATATCCATTCAGTAGTAATTTCTTTTTAATTCGCCAAGGGTGCATGTGCTCACCAGAGACAGAGAGAAAGAGAGAGGGAGAGGAAGAGAGACTCCCCACCACACACACAAGTAGACAGAGGTCACACTGCAATTCCTTCTCCCCCATTTCTCCATCCTGTTGGGATTTGGGGAGCACATACATGTGTCCCTGTTGTGGTTTTCAAGCCACCAGAGTCAGGATTTGAACTGTGTGGATGGCCATGTGGGATCTGGCTCCCTTAATTGCTAGACAGTCTAGCCGGATTTCTGCCTATCTTTTAATTGGGCTATTTGTTTTCTTGCTATTGAGATACAGGAGCTTCCACTATGTTTTCCATATCAAGCCCTTATCAATTACATGGTTTGCAAATATTTTCTTCCATTTCATAGGTTGCCATTTCACTCTGCTAATTGTTTATTTTGCTGGGCTGAAATCTTTTCATTTGATGTACTTCCATTTTATTTATTTTTGCTTTTATTGTCATATTGAAGAAATCAATACCGGGGCTGGCAGGTGGCGTAGTGGTTAAAGGCACTGGATTCCCATGTGGCTGACCAGGTTCCAGACCTGGTGGCTTGCTTTCTCACTTCCCCTTTCTCTCTCTCTCTCTGTCCCTGTCTGATCAAATTTAATAATAATCATAATCATAATAATAATAACAATAGAAATGCATACATAACTATTTAAAGAAAAGAAAACTCTTTATTAAAAAAAAAAAGAGAGCGAGAAAAGAAATCAGTACCAAAGGATCAGACGGTGGTGTGCAGGAAAACATGATGTGATGCTCTGTGAGGCAGTCCCACATGAAAGTTTTTATTTCAAGCCCAGAAACCTTGTTGAGTATACTGGGCATATGTTTGAGATCTTGGATTGGCCGAAGACTGGGGGTGTACCGCAGTATCATGACCCTGTTGGAGGTACTGTCTCTCTCTCTCTCTCTGTCCCTTTATTTCATGGAAGAAATAAATCTAAATAAATACATTTTTTGCGGGGGCGAGGGGGAGAGGTTTTTGCTGTAGGGCGTGTGCGCTCACCAGAAAGACAGAGAGACAGAGAAATAGAAAGCGAGAAATCACGCCCCAGGAGGCATGGCCACATCTCAGTCCCTTCTCCATTCTCTTCTCGGGATCTTGGAGACGCACGCACACGTGCTCGGCATGAATTTAAGCCACTGGGTCCAGGACTCAAACCACGGTTGACTACATGGAAGTCCAATGACATAGCCCTTACGCTAACTGCTGGCCCGTTTTTTTTTTTTTTTTTGGTACGGCTTTGCTTTTTTTTTTTTTTTTTTTTGGAGAGGTTTTTGCTATAGGGCGCATGTGCTCACCAGACAGACAGCGAGAGACAGAGAGACAGAAAGCGAGAAATCACCCCCCAGAGGGGATGGCCACACCGCGATCCCTTCTCCTCCATTCTCCTCTCGAGATCTTGGACACGCATGCAGACGCGCCCGGTGTGAGTTTTAAGCTACCAGGTTCAGGATGTGAACTGCAGTCGACTACGTGGGAGTCCAGTGACATAGCCATTATGCCAACTGCTGGTCCCCCTCCCCTTTTTTTTTTTTGACAAGGTCTCAGTGTATTACAGTCCTCTGTCCCAGTCTGCCAAATAGCTAGGATTTCAGTTGTGCACAGTCATGCTTGCAGCATTCAGGTTGGCCCAGGAAACAATCCTGCGCCTCTCATGCAGCTTTTATAGCCTCCCAAGTGGTGGAGCTGCCTGTGTGCCACCACAGCTGGTCCTGTCGAAAGGTTTTTGATCACTGATTCATTCTCCTTACTAGTATATAGCTCTTTAGATTTTCTTGAAATCTTCATGATTCAGCTTGATTGGTGGTGTGTTTTCTAAAAATTCATGTTTCTTTTAGACTCTCCAAGTTATTGCCATATAACTGTTCATACTTTTATAATACTTTTCATTTCTGTGACATCAATTGTACTGTCGCTTCTTTCATTTTTTTGCATCTCTTTTTTTCTTCGTCTAGCTAAATGTTTGTCAGTTTTATGGATCTTTTCAAAAAGCCAACTCAATTTTGTTGATTTTTCAAATTGTTTTTATTCTTTATGTTGTTTGTTTCTTTCCTTCCACTAACTTTGGGCTGTTTCTTTTTTCTTTTCCTTTTTTTTCCCCTAGGTTTTTAAGGTGTAAAAGTTAGATTGTTTATTTGAAATCCTTGTCCTTTTTAAATGTAGGCTTTTACCTGGATAAACTTTCCACTTAATACTGCTTTTGCTGCATCCTGTAAGTTTTCATTTGTCTCAAGATATTTTCTGATTTCCTTTTTATTACTTGTTTGACCCAGTGGTTTTCAAGACTGTGTTGTCCAATATCCATGTATGTAAAATGTACAGTTTTCTTTCTGTATTGGCTTCTAGCTTCATTCCATTGTGGTCATAAAAGGAACTTGGTACGATTTCAGCCTTCTTACGTTTGTTGAGACTTACATTATGACATAACATGTGATGATGTTCCCTGGAGAATGTTTTGTGTGATCTTAAGAATGTATATTCTGCTGCTGCTGCTGGGTGGAATGTGCTGTGTATGCCCATTAGAGTCATTTGGTCCTACGGTGTTGTTCAGGTCGTCTGTTTATTAATCTTTTGTTTGAATATTCTATCCATTATTGAAAGTGAGTATTAAAATCTCTAGTATGATATTGTCTTTTTCTTCCTTCAGCCTTGGTAATGTATGTTTCATATGTTTGGGTGCTCTGATCTTGGGTGCATGTGTACTTATGGCTGTTATATATTCCTCGTGAATTGACCTTTTTATCATTTTATAATGTTCTTTTTTTGTCTTTTGTGACAGTTTCTGACTTAAAACTCTCTTACCTGGTATAAGTATTATCTGTCATCTGTGGTAACTTTTATTACCATTTGCATGGACTATCCTTCCTCATCCTTTTATTTTTGGCTATATAAACCCTTAAATCTAAAGTGAATCTCTTGCAGACTACCTGTAGTTAGGTCTTACTGGTTTGATATTTTTTAAAGTCTATTTAGTCATTGATTGTCTTTTAATTGAGGAATTTACTCTATGAACATTCGAAGTAATTACTAATAGGG